AGCAGGATTTAAAGATCTGTAGCCAGCTCTTAGCATATAAATGTACAACGATTTCAACCAAAACTAAACAGAAATCTTATCTGCACTCCACAGAAACATCATGGACCAGACTAGCTTTTGTAACATATTTGCTCTCTGATTCATGTTGTAAATTTAACCCAGCATGGTAAACCTGATACTGTTCTTGAGTCCTGAACTTACATACACACAGGCTTAAGAACTGGGTTGCATAGTTCTCTGAGGAGACCTCCCATAGTTCTCCAGAGAGAAGGCTCTGGGGAGACCTTCGAGCAGCCTTCCAATACCTTAAAGAGAGCCTACAAGAAGTCTGGAGAGGCACTTTTTACAAGGGCGCATAGTGATAGGACAAGGGGAATGGCTTTAAGCTGAAAAAGGAGAGATTTAGATTAGATATTAGGAAGAAATACTTTACTGTGAGAGCAGTGAAGCACTGGAACAGGTTGCCCAGAGAAGATGTGGCTGCCTCATCCCTGGAAGTGTTCAAGACTACACCGGATGGGGCTTTGAGCAACCTGGTCTACTAGAAGGTGACGCTGCCTGTGGCAGGGGGGTTAGGACTCAACTATGTTTAAGGTCCCTTCCATCCCAAACCATTCTATGATTCTATGATAGAAGAATGTTTGGAGTAATTTTCACTGACTGTAGTGAGTGATCCATAAATTTAGTGAGCACTCAGTGTACTTCATATTACTTCCCTTCATGTTATTAGTGAATCATATATATACAACCAAGAGATAAATCATTACATATTTTGTTGCAAAATATAATTAAACACAGACAGTAACATTTGCATTCAGCAGCAGTTTCTGCTAAACAGGAGCCAAGTACATTTCCTTCTTGGCCTCCCTTCTCCTCTCTGTTTCAATTTTGTGCAATATCAGTTAATCTCTTGTAGTTTCCTTTTTCTGGAATCATGTAGTATATAAAAGAATGTCCCCTAAATTAGCTTTTCTCCTCACATAAATAGTTATTTTCAAAACCAGGTAGGTGTATGATTTATATTCCTAAGGAACAGAAGGAATGTTATTGCTTAGACTATTATTCTACAGCTTATTCAATTATTCCCATGCATCCACATCAGAGGTCTCCAAAGAAATATGATCATGTGACATGAAATACATGCCCAGTTTACAAGAACAGAGTTCACCAAGAGGAAAAAAAAATACCCAAACTATAAAAACTTCTGTTTCTGGGTATTTTTTTTTCCCATGCTGAAATCTTGGTTTGCTTTGATTAACATGCAGCAGGGCCTAAGTCCTAAACCCCCCACAACATCAAACACCAAAAAACCCTACATCTTGCAAGGACCGGGCACATGCTGCTTCTGAACACAGAACCTGCTGAAAGATGCTGTGGACCTCTGACCACGGCCTTGAAATCACAGTATGGAAATCACCACTCTGGATAACTGATACAGGTCTTCATCAATCTGTTTAGGTGCAGAAATCCATTTCAGTTATATCTGAATCGAATTAGCTAATGTAACAGACATAATTTTATCTTTATAACCACATAGCCAGTATGTTTCCGTTCCTGCTTTTCTTTAGTATCCAAAAAGTAATGCTAAGCTGGCAAACTGTGCTTTCAGTGATCTGTGTATAATCTAACAAAGCAGCTGTGCTTAGCAGGAGCAACGGTTTTGTCTGAGCGCTAAGTGAAAACTCTTCAGAGCTCTGATAAAGCCTTTAAAAAAGAGTATTCTAAACCAAAAAGTTAATTTCCTTTATGGAATCAGGATAAGGCCAAAGATCCAATACTCAGGATCACATTACTGATGAGGGAAAAGAGAAGGTAAAATTTAGTTCATATGTCATGGAAGGGGAGAGGTGACCACCCTCTCCTACAAGAAAGGCAAATGGACCATCCTATTTCTTTCTGTTATTTCACAAGATCTTGCAGGACTATGGAAATGATCCTTTAGAACATAAGTACACCTATATTAAAGCAATATTTTCCAGTAATCTAATACAAATCCTGTTATTTTAGAAATATATGTATACTTTCTGTCTCCAAAGCAACTGCACATCTTCTACAACTAATATGCTGTAAGAAAATTTAAGAAAATATTGACAAATTTAATTAAATTAGCAAAATTTACAAGCTTTAAATACTTTGAATTTAATTCAGTGTTTAAAGAAAGAAAAACCTGCAAAGCAATTTAGCTTTCAAGGGCCACATAAAAAGTGTTCCAAAACCTTTATGTCCAATCAATCCTTGCACAAAAGATTTCAGATCTTTAATGGAAATCGTTATCTATAGCAATAATAATTTGAAACAGTAAACTCTGCAAAGATCTGCCAAATTAAAGCAACACACATTGAGATTTAGCAGAAAGACTGGGGATAAAAAAAAACCAGAGAGAAGACATAGCTCATTTCTTCTGAAACCTTCATTAAAATGTATATGCTATTGGCCCTAAGAAGACAATTTAGAAATCTATGAAGTATTAGTGCATGCCTGCCAAAAAATTAAGCCCATCTAGAAGTGCATTCCAAAGAACTTTTATCTCTGTGTGGACAATTCCATGGGATCTCTCATCCATTCTTTTGCTTATTGAAGTTGTCAGTTTCCTGGAGCAAGGACTTTCACTTCTGTACATGGACACTACTAGTATTTTACCAGTAAAGTTACCACAGCAGTACACTTTTGTTTTAAAAATTGGTAAAATGAAGAAAAAATGAATAAAAATATTTTAATGCTACTAATATTTACTTAGCATAATCCTTCATTTTAGTTCTAAAACCAGAGACCTCCATCCAAAGGAAAAAAAAAACCCAACCTGAACGTTTATTACTTTTCCAGGTATCTATTGGTTCTCTGCAGCTCACTTCTGCCTGCCAACCACATCTTTCCACAACAGCAGCAATTGTCATCACCACTATTTTTAATATACATATTATATAGAAGGGGACAGCTTCTAATGCTTGTTAAATTGCTGTAATTCTGGAGTGATTTTATTAAGTTAATAGACTCAGTGTCACTGAGATCATGGTTTGGCCCCGTTCTTTCTCATGTAATTTAAGGAACACTACAGCTTTCCAGCAGAGTGGCATGCATTTTACACATTCTGTTCTTTACAGAGAGGCACGTTTTCACCATGCCACTCTTTATATGCACTGCTCAATCTGAAGCAGGTGACCCAATTTATTGTAACAGAACATAAGGCCCAAGAGTCTGACTCCAAACTGCCACACACTTTTATGGGCTGGACCAGAGAATGTCCCAAATTTTTTGCATCATTTAATGTCTTGAAAAGGTTTTTTCAGCCAGAGCTGCCTGAATTGTTTGCATCCTGTACACGACAAACTGAACAGAGATCCAGAATTTTCCAAATGCAGGGACCACAAATAGCCTGTCTTCTGAAAGAATAAAGAAATAATTTTATCTATACATTTTGATTTATATTGAGTGCTAATTCTTTTCATATATTTTCCACTATTTAAAATATGAAAAAGAGGCTACAAACACAATAAAAAAAGAAAATATAGGGAAAAAGTGCAAACTAGGAAATGTAGCACTTTCTAGTTTCTCCACATAACACCTTGCAATTGCCTTCATTTTCTAGAGAGACAAGTAATTTTCTTCTTAAAGTAGTAAGCTTACTTGGGCTATTTGCTGGGGACCCTAAAATATTCAGGAGGGGATGCTACTTGATCACATTTTAGAATTTAGGATTTTAGAAAGTTTGAGAGTCTTGCTGAGTAAGGTGTGAATGCAGGTATTTCTCTTTGCTGTTTCATATCCATGGTTTTTGATGGACTAGCTCTCCAGAGCTGTGGTTTTCAGCCTGCAGCTGCAGAACTCCAAGTGTCTCAAGACCACATCTATTAGTTCTGAGAAAGGTGAATAAGAAAGAGAATCTGTTGTCATTTGGCTTAAAATTTTTCTATAGGAACTGAAAACCAGTGTTTTCAAGTTAACAAAGGATATTATGAATGGTACTTCATGGAATTTTACATATTTAAAGGATTATGTTTTGTTTGGAGAAGAGTTTCACTGATAAAACTTGGTGCTCCCCTCTCTGTCACAGAATCTCTCATGTTCTGGCTCATTTTCTTCTTCTTTCTTCCCAATATATCTGCAGGAAATTTCACAGTCCTCATGTTCAGCTAGGTTAGGTAACCTTTTTAGGGACTCGGGCCACTTAACATCTCCTAGTGGCTGGAGAGAAATACTAGATTAGATCTGCTATTGATGTGTATCATGAAGCCCTAATGATGGTTTATGTCCAAACCCTATCCATACTGTTTTCATAATCTGATAATTAATTTAAACAATGAGCAAAAGAAAATTATTCTAAGTCACTAACTGTTAGCAGATGAAAAAGCTGACCAGCAAACTGCCTGATGACAAACAGGCAACAATCAACAAGAGAGAGATGAACCTCATGTTTTAAAATATTACAGCTGCAAGCTAAAACTGCTAGATGCTGTCCTCACATTTCTGGAAAAAGAGATAATATGAGGAAAAATAAGCTACTCATTATAAATAAAATTAACCTGACAAAACAAAGGGATTATCATCAAGTCATGTAATGATAAGCCTTACTTCAATAGCCACTGATTTCCACTCAATTATCTTTATGCAGAGCACATACATATAGACAGTTAAAACTTGCTGGCATGGTAAAAGGCAGCTGTGACAGAGCCTCCATGGACCAATATGTATTTTCTCTAAACAGTAAAAATAAGGTCTTTTTTCCCCAAGACAACAGTCCTGTAGCAAATATTTATTTCATACCACTTACAGGAATTAGATCTAGTACCCCAAAACTAAACACCTTTTTTCAACAGCTGCTAACTGCTCAAAGTTTCTCATATTCCATTTATTGCAAATGGCAATCTCCTTTTTATTATCAACTAACTCAGCTAAGCTTTGGACAGCTGCTCATGCCTTTTATCATTTCTATTTTACATGGCTTTTGGCGGTGGTGTTTGACTTGGTTGTAGATTGGTTTGGAGGTATTTTGTGTAACTTACCTACTAGAGACTGTGAGTTAACATCCCTTCTTCGGGTGAATTGTCGTCCAGGGAGATCTTTTGCCATGACAGAAACACTGGAAAGCAGAGTGTGTCCAAACAGTAGAAAGAAGCACACAATCATTTTCTTCATCTTCAAGAAACAGAAGGACATTCAAGGATGTGAAACTGCAGTAAAGGAGAGGAGATGAGCTCTTTGATTATATAGAAAGATACACTGTAATCATGTCAGCCATCCAGCAGCCTTGCTTCTCTCCCATCACATACGAACATGCAGATACACTGGCTTGAATAATACCTACACTGTCAAAACAGAAGCTCTACCTAATAACATAGTACTTAGCAGACCCTGCATAGTGTTTGTAAGTATTAGTTGAAGTTCAAAGTGAACATTTAAAACGTACCAATTTTGAAAATCATTCATAATAATCATGTATTTTCAAAGCAAGAAAAGAAACTTTGCTTCAGTCAACCTGTCAGCATAAACAGGCTTGAGGAGGACACAAACATATTTTCATTATTCTACTCAGCACTCCTTTGCATTTTCTTAGAAATTAATTGGTTCTTGTAGTCTGAAGGATACCTGCTTCTGAAAATCTTGGAGAATTAAAAAGAAGAGAGGAAAATATATTCCAGAAACAGCAACTATAAACACAAACTGGTGGCAGCTCATGCTTCCTTTTCAGAAGACTGTCCATAGTTGCCAGCATGAAGATAACAGCAGGATGAATCTTGTTTACCCAAGGAAACTTCTGAGGACTGGCAATGAGCCTACCATGGATTGTGAAGAAGTTTTGTCATACAGAAGAACAAGCTGACAGGCAAACTTCCTACACTAAGAGATGATTCCTGCCCGGGAGTTGGTTAGCACACCATCAAAAGCCATAGCTGACTCTGCCCACAAACAGAAAGCTAAGACTGGCATGCTAAAGGCTCATCTTCTGGCCATGTCCCCTGTTGGTGGGCTTCCTCAGATGGCGATTCTTTCTACCTTCCCCCATAACTTTATTGTTCCTGTCTCACAGGAGCTAAATGCAGTCTCGGAACCAGTGATAGCTCCCCTAGGTGTGCAAGAGATGGATAAAACTACCCACTTTCACAACAAAGAACTGTTCTACCTGAAACTGAATGGAAATTTCAGAAGCAGTGGAAATTTTAACACTAATTCTTGGTTAAATAACTATTACATTGAAAACAATTTCAGTAGGGTCCTAAACTGGGTAAGTAGATAGAATCACAGATCTGTAACAGAAGGCAACTAAATGGCCCTGTTCAGAGAAAGAATTTATTTTTCCCCAGCATGAGGTACTCGGTGAAGAAAAGAAAATTCTGAGTAAGTATTTTCTGTCTAATAAAAGGATTTTATACATTATTCTTCAGTCTGTCTCACACAACCATTACAGACTGATCTATTTTTTGGTCTATCAATCTATTTTTCATTTTGTGTATCCTACTCAACACCCCCAAATGCGAGTACTGTGTTCAGCATACATGCTAGAGAGCAAAATGACCTAAGTCTCTGCACTCAGAATGCCCACCTTTGCTTAAACATTCAATATTATCCAGTAACAGACAATACATAATTTAAGGACATTCAAACTAGGAAAGAGATATAAATAGTTGGTGTGTATAAAGTGGCCACAAAAAATCAAAATTCTGCTGGAGGCAACCGTTGTTACTGCTGGAGATTACCAACGAAAGCTTCCTCTAGGTTGTCTCCTCACTTCCCAGAACATCATCAACAACCACAGCCCTGTGCAAGGGGGCCTCCTCTGTCTTTAGCCTGCTCCTTCAGCACACAAGGCAAACGGACCTCAAGGACACATGCCAGTTTTACCACCAATGTTTCAGGAACATAGAAGCCATGCTCAGAGGGCTAAGGAGCATAGAGAAATATGCTCCTTACAAGGCTGTCACAGGAACCAGGAATGAGAGTTTGGTCAAGAGGGCTACCTGGTTTTTGCTTAGCTATCAGTAGCCTAACTCATCCCTCCTTCCCAAAGCCAAAGGCTGTGTATGTGATAACAGCTGACACTGATCCAAGCCTGTTGCACCCTTCCATCCACACTGAAAGCTTCTGTGCTGCTTTCCTGAGGCGATGATAGTTTGGACTTGTGTGGTTTGCTCAAGTTCCACGTATATATCTGTGTCCACTGCTGCTCGCATTTTTACATGACCAGTTTAATATTGTGGTTGCATGGCTTCTCCACATACAGTCCTCCCATAGTCCTCCTCTATTTATATGCTGGGTCTTCTGCGAGGTTCTCTGTCTTCACTCTAGAAGTTGGATGGTGTTTATTGCACCACATTTGGTATTTAACACCTCATTTTCTCAGCAGGCTAAGCCAGGCTGCTGGCACAGCCTTTTGTAGCTTCACATGCTGGCTAACCCTTGCTTTACCAGCTGAGAACACATTCCCAAAGTACTAAACTTACAAACACATACTTTTGTGGCTACCTTTAAGCACTTCAATTCCAGCTGTCATAGCAGGATTATCCAGCATTACACCACTGGGAGCTAGCTGCCTCCCAAACACCTCAAAAGCAAAGGACACCAAGAAGAGGTGTGACAATCCATCAGGCTCAACCAGGTTGAACACTACATGCATCAGCTTCCACTGGCTTCTACCCATGGAGAGAGGAAGATAAGGGTTCTGTTGGAGGGCTTTCACAGCAACCTTGCAGTAGCCAGTGCAGCACACTTCTCTGCTGGACATGTGAAGAAGCTCCTAACAGAGAACAAGTAACTGCTGTTCACAGTAGAATCTGGTGAGGGCTGCTTGCAATATCTGCAGTTTCTAGAAGAAGTTTGGTATAAAGGAGGAGATTCTCCTAGAAGATGGGAAGTAAATATACAGGCTCTCTGGTTCTTTTCAGGCTTCTCTTGCTCCCTAACTGGCTGCTAGTCAAGAGCTAGATGTTTCCATGGTGTTTTCTTATCAGTTTTACCTCTGTTTTGCTTAGATATATATCCATGCGACAGAGTAATTTTTACGATGCACTGTTATGGATTTTCAATTTTCATGAACTACAGTGTAAGAATACTGAAAAATGCAACTTCATCTTTAATATATGTATTTCCTTTGTTGGACAGCACTCAAAACCAGAAGCCTATTTCTGCCCTTTCAAATATCTGTCCATGGCAGTCTTATCATAATGGATTGATAGCTGTTTTGGACAGAGACACTACTGAATATCCAGTGTAAGTGGTGATAAATCAATGACCTTCTCCGCTGCATTATGCATCTTATTAAGATTTGTCCTCTTCACTATGATAACTCTTAAATAATGTCAAGAGAGAAGAGATGCCCTGTGGCTCATGCTGAAGTCAGCGCTCTTCCATCTCTTACCTCACTTCAGGAAAAGTTCTTTCACACAGAATCCAGAAACCCTTCCATTGGCCTGGAGGGCCACCTTTTTTCATTCAGTACCTTAAAAATGTACCTGGTTTTGCTGAGCAAGTCATGCTAAAGAAGCAACTGGAAAAACAGGGTAGTAGTTTCAGCTCATGTCTCCCCCTCTTCTGGGTGGTCTCTTTCCTCAGCTTGCAGTACAAGTTCCCTTCCAAGGCTAAATCAGAAAGATGAACTCCACAAACCCCTGCATCTCCACCTTCTCCAGCTGCCACCAAAACTGGCACAATGCACAAAAAGGGGAAATTCTCAGCAGTTACCTGGAACACCAACACTTTTAATAACTGCAGATAATAACCCCTCTCTTGAACCCTATGTAATTGCTTATCATAGATGGGAAGGAAAGGGAAAACGAAAAAAGCCAGCAAAGGCAGCAGTTATTACCACTACAGAAGCTGCCACCAGCTTTCCTTGTTTGATAGTTAAAAGAGACAGCCATTTATTTTCATTAAGCTGTCAGCAGGTCTAACTTCAGTGGTTTTAAGTTATAAAGAATGTAAGTGCATAAAAGGAGAAAACATTTTGAAGTTCTTACAGCATTCCCTATTATCCACCCATTTTTAAGAAACTGTGATCAAATCAAAAGACTTCTACTGAAGTTAAAGGAACAGTAAGCGATCTATACAAGTCAATAAAATCAGAGTCTGTGCCCCTAAGTTAGCAAGCACAGTGAGTTACTTGGAAAAGGGATGAACTCTTACTACATGAAAGACCGCAAAATATCTCATTCTCAATCCCATCACCTCAGAAATTATAAAAACCCAAGGACGTCAGGTACTGTAAAGCCCTGTTAACTATCAGTTACAACTTGTTCCAATGTAGTTTGCTATCCACAAACCAGCACATGCATTACTCATAAAATCACTCTGTGTGGCATGGGTATCAGGACACAGAGCATTAATTACTTCCTCCATCTTTCTGGACCAGTTGCTGACACAAGCATTTTCCATTTCTGAAAAATAGGTATAGAGTCCCACAGAGTCCAATATCATACCTGTCCCTAGCTACGCAGGTGTGGGGGCAGGAAGCCATAATCAGGAGGATGATATTTAGCACATCTGCAAGAAGCACCATTTTGCCCCCAGCCTTATAAAGGAGCACTCTGCTGTCATCCTGTTCTACCAAATGATACACTGGATTTTCTGCAACTCCTTGCTGCACAAGGAGGGCTCCACCAGGCTCAGCAACACAGGACAGGTGGAACTCCCCTAAATCATGATTGACAACTGCATCTCACCAATACGGTTACATCACAAAGAAGAAAACAGGTCGCAGGTGCTCCAAGCTTGTAAATTCTTCATCTGCTCCTCAACCCTGATGGCGGGCACTATGTGCACATGAGCATACGGCCCACTGCTGCACCAAGTCCTGCAAAGCAGAGTGGTATGTCCTTGTTAACACATTCTCTAGCTCCTTTTAGGAGTCTTATTTATTCATGCTGTCAGCAGTATCAGATGAATCTGGGAAACTCATTATCTCAAAGTCAGTAATTCAGGTGTGTTCTGAGGCAGACAACCCAAATGCAAGCAGCTTTCATAGTAGCATACCAAGCCACCACAATAATGTAATTGTTGACTTGGTAGCATCAGTCTTTTACCAATTTAAAATAATGAGCGTCCAGACACTTAGAGTAATCCAAATCTGCAGTGGATTT